TTTGCTAAAAATCTGGTAAGTTATTGGAGCCGTGTCTGATGCACAAACTTGGTGTGCTCTGCTCCATGTGGTGGTGACATGGTAGCTGTCACAGCCTGCAAAAGGTTAGTCCAAGAGCATCCTCCCACCCAGCTGCAAAAAAACTTCATACGGAATACCAACCTGATACAAGTACTGAATGAGTATTGGATACCAACCTGATACTTAATACAGAATGAATACCTCAATACCGAATTAGTACTGACCTGATGGCTTAATACCGAATGAATACTGACCTGATACCTCAATACCGAATGAATACTGACATGATACCTTACTGAAACCGACCTGATACTGACACGAGTACCGAATGAATACTGACTTGACTATTGCCCTCAGCATATCCGAACCTGCAGTATAGAAACTTGTTCAGCGAGGTACAAAACAGACAAATGGTTACCAAGAACAGTTCCAGTTTAAACCGCACCCACCCTCTCCTGTTCTGTTTCCCATTTTAAAGCTTCAAGCTAACATCAGAAGCACCAATATGGCTGAGCTGATTGCGAGGTGCTTTTTTTTTTATTTTATTTTCTCATAAGTCACCGAAGCTCACCTCATTGCCGGCCAGCAGGTCAATAAGTGTCAAAATAATTCGGAAGCCGCATTCAACGAAAGGTTTACCACCACACCCTCCACTGCTTTGCCCCACTGAGGGAGGGGGGGTGAGAGGGAGAGGATGAGGGGGAGAGCAGGGGGCGTGGGGAGGGTGAAGGGGCAGGGAGAGGGTGAGTGCTGAGGTAAGTGATATGGGGCATGGAGTAATGATGAATCAATGATTTTCAAGCCATGAGCTGCAATTATTGTCACAGTACTTACTGGTGATGCTTAAATGCCCATAGAAAGGAATACAGAGTCACAAGCATAATTTCACAGTGTGCCACATGCGTTCTACAGGGAAATGCCTCCTTGGTGAAGCGATTGAACATAATGTGAAAGAGATCATGCCCAACTGACACTTTCATGCCAACTGACACATTCATGCCAACTGACACATTCATGCCAACTGACACATTCATGCCAGCTGACACTTTCATGCCAACTGACACTGTCATGCCAACTGACACATTCATGCCAACTGACACATTCATGCCAACTGACACATTCATGCCAACTGACACTTTCATGCCAACTGACACTTTCATGCCAATTGACACTTTCATGCCAGCTCACCCATTCATGCCAACTGCCACATTTATGCCAACTGACATTCATGCCAACTGACACATTCATGCCAACTGACACATTCATGCCGCCGACTGACACATTCATGCCAACTGACCCGTTCATGCCAACTGACCCATTCATGCCAACTGACCCATTCATGCATGCAAGTGCCTCTTGTAGCATGCATACAAACAATGTGAGACATACGCCCCTCAGCTGCCCCAAACGACAAGATCAACAGCCCATACAGCAGATAAAGCTCCTTGGTTATTGCAAGTGGTGCCTTAACTTTGTGATATATACACATTAATGATCATAATAGCATCTAATTTACATGGGCCTACAAGTAACAGACTTAGCCCTATCGAAGTTCACCGGGTGAACTATATTTTACAAGGTAAAACTTTTCCTATACGCTACTCAGTAGCAAGTCAAACTTGTCACCTCCACCTGGGTTGCTGGGACTGCTGCTTCTGCGAGGCTGCTGTTGCAGTCTGGCCTCGCAGCTCACTGTTGCTCCCTGCTGCTGCCTGCACTCCGTTCTTCCCCTCCCCCCTCACAGCCGAAATTGAACCTTTTCTCAATCTGCTCGTGGCAGCAGCAGCCCCACCAGGGGCAGCCGGAGCAGCATGTCTTGCTGACTTTTCAACTGTCACTGCAGAAACCTTACCCTTGCATCCGACACTTTTCTCTGCAGCACCAACCTTGCTTGCCTCTCCCTTTCCAGTCCCTCTCACGGCTGAACCACAGACTGCTGCCTTCACGGGTGGCTTCACTGCTGCTTGTGTGGCTAACTTCGCTGCTGCTTTCACCGCTGGTCGTCCCGCTGGCGAAGCTGCTGTGCGTGCTGATGGCTTGCACGCAACCGGCTTTACCACAGCGGATACTGCTGCCTTGGCCACTGGCCGTACTGCTGCCTTCGCCACTGACCGCGACGGTTTCACTGCTGATCGTGCTGATGGCTTGCACACCTCTTTTTTAGGCGAAGCACCAAAAGGCACAGCAGCAGAAGCAGCAGCAACGGCGCCAGCAATGGCGTCAGCTACGGCATCCGCAGCAGCAGCAGCCGCCACAGGCACAGCAGCAGCAACAGCAGCACCAAGAGCGTCAGCAGCAGCACTGGCAGCAGCAGCAACCACGTTGACAGCAGAGGCAAAAGCCGTGACAAGAGCAGGCCTCAACGGCGAGAAGCCCAGCCGAGCTCCAACACGGTGCTCGCGGCGGTTCTTGCTCGCCTCAGCAAAGCGGCCCAGCTTGAAGGCCACATCCGCAGCGCTCATGAGCTTGCATGACGCCAACGACATCATCGTTTCGCCTGCACTCCGAGCTGCGGGATTCCTGATCGTGTGATCATTCAAATATGCTTCATCCTCCTCTGTCCATTCCGTGATGAACTCGGCAGGGTTCACTGAACCGTGCTGAGCCACCCATTCACCAATACTCCAGCCAACGTATGATTTAACTAAGCCGCTTCTCAGGTATTGCTCATCCTCTGCTGTCCACTCTGTGATAAAATCAGCAGGGTTCACTGCCTTCCCCCCCAGGAGAATCAGCTCGTCGCTCACACCTAGAGTGGCACGACGATTTGCAACAGGGACTCTTAAATCAGCCTCGTCCTGAGCAGTCCACTCCGTAATAAACTCGGCGGAGCTTACTGTGAGTTTAGACAGGAGCAGCAGCTCATCGCTCACACTGAGTTCAGCCGGTGCTGCTCTCAGCTGAGCTTCATCAGCCGCCGTCCATTCGTAGAGGCAATCGAAGGGAAGAGAGTTCAGTGCAGGGCAGTCCAACCAGCTCGGTACCTCCCACAGGTACCTCGCTGCGTTTCCGAAGCACGTGGCAGCAGCAAGAGCAACGGCCAGGGCAGTTTCAGGGTTGATCCCGTCCATTCGAGCAACGAGAGCAGAAAGGCAAAGTCTGTGCGAGCGAGTGACTGAAAGAGCGTGTGAAGCAAACAAGTTGTGATTGAAGAGAAATGGTCGTCAAGTGACCATTTCTACTGACACCAAGCAGTGGGTTCCCCCGTTAACGAAGGAGCCGTCGTTCGAGGTTTGGTTCGGCACTGTTGGGTGCAGCTTCGGCACCACACCCGTTTACTGCGCTCTGAGGCAAACGCGAGGCGCCCAGTCGATGGTCCACATTGCTGCTCGTCTGACGGTACCGCCAGCTGACGCGAAAATCGAACGGTTGGAGTGTTTCCGGTGCTTCTGAAAACGTATATGCGGCAAAGCTTTGCTCTCGATATGATAATTTTGCAGCATGCTCACGTGGATGACAAAACAACGGCTAAACAGGCTCGAATCGGACGGCTTAAAACAAATCGAAATCTTCGGTACCCTGCCTACGGCTAGGCTTGGCACCGACATCCGCAGCGCGTGGACGCGAATGGAAGCTGGTGACACGCTGAACCTAGCCCAGCATGACGTGTTTCACCCGTGGATCTACGTGTCGCGTGGCGGTGTGGGGTCGTACCTGAATGGGATCATAATTGGGAAAACGCAATGCTTCACGTGACAGACGTCGATCTAAGCTGCGAGGCTCGTGGAGACTCGTAAAGGGCGGCTGAAAAAGGCACTAAGTTATATCTCCCGCCAAATGCGGCTGGCAATCTGCTAGATCCAGTGCGGTGATCTCGATTTCTAATCAGGATGGGCGGGCTTCTGAAACAGCGTGTGGTTCTCGATCTTTAGAGCTGAGAGCAGAGGGCAGCTGCATTCTCTGGGGCTCGTCGCCTCACTAAGCCAAGAGGACGAGACAAGTGGAGAGATGGGATGGTTTGGTGGAGCACCAAACCCTAGGTCCCAAGACCACTACCAAAGTACCCCTTCGCAAAAATCTGCGATTTTGATATTTGCGCTGATCACGAACAGGTGCGAACGTAATTGTTCATCAAAACCACGAACAAAGCTGAGAGCGAAGTTACACGCCCTAATGCGCAGTAGAAGCAAGCATGTGGTAGAAATCTGATGTTCATGATTCAGATTTTCCTTCTAGTGAGAAGTTGCCACATTATATTTAATGAGCCAGGATAAATATGCAGGTGCGATATTCCAGATATTACGTGATAATAAGTGTGTGACGAACGGACGTTCAAATGGGGCACATAATATTTGTACTCAACACCATCGTGTCGTGTCACACGTTGACTAGATTGCATGAGAGTTAACTGTATACGAGGAATAACAATGGCCTACAGGTAGCTGTCACATAAAACAGGTACTGCCGACACCAGGAAATTACTCAGGCCCCAGCACAACCCCATGGGTGGAATTGAGCAATGACCCAACCGAGAGGGGGCATTCTGGAACATGTGTGAGCTCATCAGAGCTGAGACAAGTCACAAGAGCCGCTTTTCATCCCGTCTGCCCGCACCTCACTGCTCAGCACGAGCCGACACCGCTCCCAACTGGTACAAATCAACCACCGCTCACCCCCTCACCCCTCTCCTACACGCAGACAGCACCAGTCACATCAAGGAGCTCCTTTTTCTTAGGCGCCTTAAAAATCGGTACAAATCACTCACTACTCAACCCCTCCCCCCCCCTGTCCCCTACACACAGACAGCACCAGTCACATCATGGAGCTACAAGGGACACCACCGCCCCCCCTTCCCACTCACATCACATCACTAAGTACCTTCCCCTTCCCCCGCTGCACAAGGCGCTGCTCATACAGTCCCTCACAACCCCCCAACAGTCCCCCACAACCCCCCATCCCCCCACAATCCCTCATCCCTCCTATCCCCTCTGCGCACACAGCAGCAGTCACCTGGCACAGTACCCGCCCCTGCCCACTCATCACATAACCGAGTACCGCCCGGGCTGCACGGGCCGCTGCTGGTGGGATGCATCAGCAGCACTCGCCTCCTCAATGATCCTCTTGATCTCCACCTTGGCCTTCTTCACACTCGCCTCCGTCGGTCCCTCGATCGACAGGTACAGCTTCTTCTCCCCGGCCGCCAACGCCTTGCCCGGCGGGCAGTACAGCCCACGCGTCGTCACCGATGACCCCGTCCATTCAATGATCTGGTTAAGGGTTTCTTTGTGGGTGATCTTCCACCGCGCGTGCTGCGGGAACTCGTTGATCTCGAATTCCGCTTCATAGTGCGCTTTGACGGGTTCGGCTGGTTGGAGTTTGGCTAAGTTGTGCTGGAGGCTGATGGCTGCTGCGAAGGCCGCTGCGCGGGAAACCGGGGTCGGGGCTGCGGCGGCTGCTGAGGCGATGGCCGTCGCTGCTGATTCCCCTGCTGCTGCTGCCCCCACGAGGGATGCGGCGAGGGGATTGGCAAGGGCAGCAGCAGCACCAGCAGCACCAGCCGCACCAGCAGCGCCAGCAGCAGGAGTGATACCCATCTGGGCCATCCTCGCCTGCACTGCTGCTTGAATCGGATTCGCCGCTGCCCCTGCCGGCACCGCACCCCCTGCTTGGTTCGCTGCAGCCGCAGCCGCAGCAGCCGCCACCGCCGCTGCGATATTCTGCGCCGCCGACGCCGCCGCACCACCCGCACTCGGCGCCTCAACCCTCCGAATGGCCCCGCTGCCATCCTTCTCCTCCTTCTCCTCCTCCTCCTCGCCCCCCTCCTCCTCATCCACAACCACACCATACTCCTTCGCCTGGGCTTTCTTCAGCGCCTTCTTAGCAGCTTCCTCCTCCTCATTGAACTTAAAGCCACTCCCGCCGTACCCACTCCCATGCGCCACCACGCTCCCAGCCTTCACCTTAGCAGTGAACGCATCAGCCATGGCCTTAAGATCCTCCGGGATCGGCTGCTTCGACAGCTCCAAGGCTCGGACCAGGTCCGGCGCGAACCGATCCTCTTCCGGACTGATAAACGTCACCGCGCACCCTTTCCTCCCGGCCCTCCCGGTCCTCCCCACCCGATGCACATAATCCTCGTAATGGTTCGGCACATCGTAGTTAATCACCAGCTCTAATTCCTTAACATCTAATCCTCGAGCTGCCACACTAGTAGCCACTAGCAAGTTACACACGTTGGTCTTAAAGTCCTGCAAGGTGGACTCGCGGTCGGTCTGGTCCTTGGCGCCGTGCAGCGAGAGGCACGGGTAGCCGGATTTCAGGAGGTCACGGAAGAGCGCGTCGCACTTGTCTTGGGAGTGCACAAAGACGAGGATTTTGCCCTTGTCGCACCACTCGCCCAGCAGCTCCAGCAGGCGCAGGAAGCGCTGCTCTCCCTCGGGCCGCACCTCCACCGTTTGGGTGATGTCGCTGTTGACAACGCTGCGCCCTCCCACCTGGGTATGGGGAGAGAGGGAAGGGACGAGAGGGTGAGAGTCTCGCCCAGCAGCTCCAGCAGACGCAGGAAGCGCTGATCCCCCTCGGGGCGAACTTCAACCGTTCGAGTGATGTCGCTGTTGACAACGCTGCGCCCTCCCACCTGTGGAGGGAGGGAAGGAGAAGAGGGGGGGGGGGGGAGGAAGAGGGGCTTCGGGAACAAGTGTGGGATTGGGGGATGGGGACCGGGGAGAAAGAAGAGGATGAGCGTATTGCTTTGAGACGCCTCGAGGCTCCACAGGGGATGGGGGGAGGGGAGGGATGAACGTGAGTGATGTCGCTGTTCACCACACTGCGCCCTCCCACCTGGGAAGGTTGGGAGGGCGCATTCAGGCACATTCAGGCGCATTCAGGCGCATTCAGGCGCATTCAGGCGCATTCATGCACATTCAGGCACATTCAGGCACATTGAGGCACATTTGGGCGCATTCGGGCGCATTCGGGCGCATTCGGGCGCATTCGGGCGCATTCGGGCGCATTCAGGCACATTCAGGCACATTCAGGCGTATTCAGGCGTATTCAGGCGTATTCAGGCGTATTCAGGCGTATTCAGGCACATTCAGGCTCATTCAGGCTCATTCAGGCACATTCAGGCATATTCAGGCACATGCAGGCACATTCAGGCACATGCAGGCGCATTCAGGCGCATTCAGGCGCATTCAGGCGCATTCAGGCGTATTCAGGCACATTCAGGCGTATTCAGGCGTATTCAGGCGTATTCAGGCGTATTCAGGCGTATTCAGGCGTATTCAGGCACATTCAGGCTCATTCAGGCTCATTCAGGCACATTCAGGCGTATTCAGGCGTATTCAGGCGTATTCAGGCACATTCAGGCTCATTCAGGCACATTCAGGCTCATTCAGGCGTATTCAGGCGTATTCAGGCGTATTCAGGCGTATTCAGGCGTATTCAGGCGTATTCAGGCGTATTCAGGCGTATTCAGGCGTATTCAGGCACATTCAGGCACATTCAGGCTCATTCAGGCACATTCAGGCACATGCAGGCACATGCAGGCACATTAAGGCACATGCAGGCGCATTCAGGCGCATTCAGGCGCATTCAGGCGTATTCAGGCACATTCAGGCGTATTCAGGCGTATTCAGGCGTATTCAGGCGTATTCAGGCGTATTCAGGCACATTCAGGCTCATTCAGGCTCATTCAGGCACATTCAGGCTCATTCAGGCGTATTCAGGCACATTCAGGCGTATTCAGGCACATTCAGGCTCATTCAGGCACATTCAGGCTCATTCAGGCGTATTCAGGCACATTCAGGCGTATTCAGGCGTATTCAGGCGTATTCAGGCGTATTCAGGCGTATTCAGGCACATTCAGGCTCATTCAGGCTCATTCAGGCACATTCAGGCGTATTCAGGCACATTCAGGCGTATTCAGGCGTGGCTGCGTTCTGCAGGCGCATCAGCCCGCATCAATGTGCATTGCTACATTTTACGACGGTTCCAGGATCCTTTCTCGATAACCTCCTGACAGGTTATCAAGGCTCGCGATAAGCGCATGGCTGCCGAGGCAAACCAAGCCCGAATGCCTGCAGAACGGCCTTTTTGGCCCTCGAAATTTGTAATGTGAACGCGTTCCAAGAAGCTTCCTCTCCTAGCAATCGGGCGCATCACTGATGCGCGCATCATGCGACTTCGGAAACTCGCATCATGCGCGCATCAGCTGATGCGCTGCAACCTCATTGGCCAATCAGTTTCCCACCTCCGAAATTCAGCGAAACCTGACTTCCGAGAAACCTGTAACATTCATAATGCTGAAATTCGTCAGAAAATTGAATGTCCAATTTCCTGACCTCAATTCAAATTCGTCGGATTTTCCAAACCTCAATTCCAAATGTCCGAACCTCAGTTTCGCAATTTCCAAAACGCAATTACCTCAATTTCTCAATGTCCGCATCAGGCCGAGCCTCAGACGCATCAGAGCTGATGCGCCTGCAGAACGCAGCCCGTATTCAGGCACATTCAGGCTCATTCAGGCGCATTCAGGCGCATTCAGGCGTATTCAGGCGTATTCAGGCGTATTCAGGCGTATTCAGGCACATTCAGGCACATTCAGGCACATTCAGGCGTATTCAGGCGTATTCAGGCACATTCAGGCTCATTCAGGCGCATTCAGGCGCATTCAGGCACATTCAGGCGCATTCAGGCGCATTCAGGCACATTCAGGCTCATTCAGGCTCATTCAGGCGTATTCAGGCACATTCAGGTACCTCGACCTAAGGATCTAACATGTCAAACATCCGGCCTTGTGTTCCCATGTCAAACATGCGGTCCGCCTTGTCCAGCACCAGATACGTCACCCTCCTCAGATTCGTGGGAGCAAGGGAGAGAGTGGGAGAGAGACGAGGAAGAATCACCCACCTGGATCTCAATGGGCTTTGTCAGGACCTTCCGTGCCAGGGTCTCGACCTGGCGGGGGAACGTGGCGGAAAACAGCACCGTCTGCCTATCCAGCCTTGTGTTCCCAATGATGCGTCCGATCTGCGGCTCAAAGCCCACGTCAAACATGCGGTCCGCCTCGTCCAGCACCAGATACGTCACCCTCCACAGATTCGTGGGAGCAAGGGAGAGAGTGAGAGAGAGACGAGGAAGAATCACTCACCTGGATCTCAATTGGTTTGGTGAGCACTTTCCTCGCCAGGGTCTCCACCTGGCGGGGGAACGTGGCCGAGAACAATACAGTCTGCCGGTCCGGCCGCGTGTTCCCGATAATCCTCCCGATCTGCGGCTCAAAGCCCATGTCAAACATGCGGTCCGCCTCGTCCAGCACCAAGTAAGTCACCCTCTTGAGGTTGGTAATCCGCCCGTTGCTGGTCGCCAGAATGTCGATCATGCGCCCGGGCGTGCACACCACGACCTCGGCGCCGCGCTTGAGCTCGCTGATTTGCTGCGCCACGCCGGAGCCGCCGTAGACGGGCACGCAGGAGAGACCGAGGGGGCGCGCGAAGCGGCGGATGTCCGTGAAGATCTGCTGCACTAGCTCCCTCGTGGGGGCGAGAATCAGGCCTATGGGGCCGTCTCCGGATTGGAGTGGGGGCTGTGGAGGGAAAATGGGGGAGGAAAGGGAGGGGAAGGGAAGGATGAGAAGGGGGGAAGGCAGAGGGAAAGGCGGAAAAAGGAAAGTTGAGTTCGCTGATCTGCTGGGCCACGCTCGAGCCGCCGTAGACCGCAACGCAGGAGAGGCCGAGGGGGCGAGCAAAGCGGCGGATGTCAGTGAAGATCTGCTGCACTAGCTCCCTCGTGGGGGATGGTGCACGGGAGGTGGGGAGGGGGGCGAGGGGAGGGAGGGAAAGCGAGGGAAGCGAAGGTAGGAAAGGCAAGGGAAATATGGCGAAGGGTGTATGATGCTACCCCCCCCTCAAGTGTCATGCTCGTGTATCTTCCCACCCACCTGGTGCATGGGCATCAAGTGTCGCAGCATGGGCAGCACAAACGCCAGCGTCTGTTTGAGCATCAAATGTCAAACCAGTCCCTCCCACCACGCTCCCATTTCCCCCTTTCTCTCCTCCTACCTCCACCCACCTGATCCATGATGTGTCGCAGCATGGGCAGCACGAACGCCAGCGTCTGTTAGAGCAACATGTGTCAAACCAGTCCCCCCCCCCCCCCTCACTCAAACCCTCCCCCCACCTTCCTCCACCCACCTGGTCCATGATATGCCGTAACATGGGCAGAACAAACGCAAGAGTCTTTCCTGATCCAGTTTTCTCGATTCCAATGCAGTCCCTTCCGCTCATCACAATCGGCAGCGCCTGCGCCTGGATGGGCATCGGTTTCTCGAACCCCATCTTCTTGAGCACGTCCAGCACCTTGTTGCTCAGCCCGCTCTGCTTAGCCCCTCGAGCACCTTGTGATGCTACTCCCTCATCCTCTTCCCCCCCACCCCCTCACACCCCCCTCTCCCCCGTACCTGGTCCATGATATGCCGTAGCATGGGCAGCACGAACGCCAGCGTCTTCCCCGACCCAGTCTTGGCAATCCCGATACAATCTCTTCCGCTCATCACAATCGGCAGCGCCTGCGCCTGGATGGGCATCGGTTTCTCGAACCCCATCTTCTTGAGCACGTCCAGCACCTTGTTGCTCAGCCCGCTCTTCTTAGCCCCTCTAGCACCGTGTGATGCTACTCCCTCATCCTCTTCCCCCCCACACCCTCACGCCCCCCTCCCCCCCCCTTACCTGGTCCATGATGTGCCTTAACATGGGCAGAACAAACGCGAGAGTCTTCCCAGATCCAGTTTTCGCAATCCCAATGCAGTCCCGCCCGCTCATCACGATGGGCAGCGACTGCGCCTGAATCGGCATGGGCCGTTCAAACCCCATCTTCTTGAGCACGTCCAGCACCTTGTTGCTCAGCCCGCTCTGCACCCATGTGTGCACCGGCTTCGGCACGTCCTTGCCTCTCAGCTTGAACTCGTGCTCGCGCCGGTACAGAGCCACTTCATCGGCTGTCATGTTTGCGACTTCCTTCACCTCCTTGTAAAAGTTCTTCCTGAATGGCTCGTAATGCATCTGCCAGTGGTTCATGGGAAAGAGGGGGACGGGTGGGAAGGGCGGGGGAAGGGGAAGGGGAAAGGGAAGCGGGAAGGGGGGAGGGGATGGAGGGTGAGGCGATGGAGGGAATATGGTAAAGTTTGGGACTTGTGAGGTGGTTCAGGGACGGGCTTGGGCACATCCTTGCCGCGCAGCTTGAACTCGTGCTCGCGCCGGTACAGAGCCACCTCGTCAGCTGTCATCTTTGCCACTTCCTTTACTTCCTCATAGAAATTCTTTCGGAACGGCTCGTAGTGCACCTGCCAGGGGTTCATGGGAAAGGGAGGGAAGGAGCGAAAAGGGGAGGAAAGGGAGAGGGAGGAGGGTGGGGGAGGGTGGGGGGTGAGGCTCCTCAGGGACGGGCTTGGGCACATCCTTGCCGCGCAGCTTGAACTCGTGCTCGCGCCGGTACAGAGCCACCTCGTCAGCTGTCATCTTTGCCACTTCCTTTACTTCCTTATAGAAATTCTTTCGGAACGGCTCGTAGTGCACCTGCCAGGGGTTCATGGGAAAGGGAGGGAAGGAGCGAAAAGGGGAGGAAAGGGAGAGGGAGGAGGGTGGGGGAGGGTGGGGGGTGAGGCTCCTCAGGGACGGGCTTGGGCACATCCTTGCCGCGCAGCTTCAACTCGTGCTCGCGCCGGTACAGAGCCACTTCGTCCGCTGTCATTTTCGCCACTTCCTTGACCTGCTTGTAGAAACCCTTTCGAAACGCCTCGTAGTGCACCTGCCAGTGGAGTACGGGGTTGTATAAATTCACACCTTTTGAGACTTTTCAGGCGCCTTGAGAATCTGGGCGCTCAAGGTGCGTCAAGAAAGGATATAGACGTCTGAACCTCGAGAAAAGATTGTAGTGTATTCACACCGCAGGTTCGAGCGGAACTGCTTGTAGTGCGCCTGCCAGCGGTCCACCAGGGGACGAGACGAGAAGGCAGGCTAGCCGCACGCACCTGAAACAACAAAACCTTTTGAGACCTGCCTAGAAACATTCCCAAAACGTTTGAGCCGAAAGAAAATAGCTAGACGTTTCGAAAACCGACCGAAAGGGCTCTTTTTAAGGCACCCTGGAAGTGGTGCACTCCACCGGGGCGTGCTTTTTTTATTTTATAAACATTTTTTTTTCGGGGGAAAGGGGGGAGGGGGGGGCGGGGGAGGAGGGGGGCTTTGGGTGAACCCAGGAGGAAATCCGGTCCCCTTTCCCACCACAGGGGCGTGCAGTCGACAATGTGCATGGATGAAGGCACTGCACCTGCGAGTGGTCCACAGGGGCGAGTTTCTCGGCCTTGGTCTGCGCCACGGCTGTCACGCTTACAACATGCCTCGAGAATCTTTTAGGACGTTTCAAAAGACCAGAGCAGCTTTTCTGAACACCTCATAGCGCACCTGCGAGTGGTCCACAGGGGCGAGTTTCTCCGCCTTGGTCTGAGCCACGGCTGTCACTCGCTTCACAAACTCCGCATCCTCCTCCTCTCCCTTCTTGCCACCCTCCCCCCCTTCCTCGCCCACCTCCTCCTCCCCTGAATCGCCTGCCCCTCCCCCCTCGTCCTCTGATTCAGAGTCCACACCAAACACCATGCGCCCTTTGGGGCCCTTGCCTTTCCTCTTCCCCTCTGCTTTCCCTTTCTCCTTCCCCTTCTCCTTCTCCTTCTCCTTCTCTTTCTTCCCCTTGGCGCCACCCTTCTCCGCCCCTCCACCAGCCCCCGCCCCCATCAGCGCATCTCCACCGTTGGCAGCCTGGGACGAGCTGCTGCCGCCCGCTGCTGGCTCTGCGCCTCCCACCCGGGCGGCGGGCCGGGCTGCATCCTTGGCGTCTAGCTTGGCGACCTCTGGGAGAACCAACGAGTTCATGAACGCATCTAGAGGATCCACCTCCTCCTCCTCTGCTGCCTCCTCCTTTTCTGTCTCCTCCTCCTCTGCCTCCCCCTCCTTGCCCTTCCCCTTCAGATCCCTTTTCTGCTTCTCTCCCTCCTCTTCGTCCTCTCCCTTCTCTCCCTCCCCTCCCTCGTCCAAATCCATTCCCCGTCCCTCCTCTCCCTCCCCCTCTTCCTCCACTTTCTCCTTCCCCTTCCCTTTCCCCCCGTCCCCCCCTTTCCCCTCCGTCCCCTCCATATCCCCACCCCCGCCCTTCTCCTCCTCATCATCCGACTCCCCATCCAGAGTCCATCCGCGCCCCTTCCCTCCCCCACCCGCCTGCGCCGCGCTGCTCCCCCCCGCGCCCCCGCTTCCCCTCTCCCCCCCTGCGCCTGCAGCTGCGCGCGCCTGCTCCTCTTCCGCCTTCTTCCTGCGCTGCTCCTGCCACTCCTGCACTCTCCGCCTTCGCCTCTCCATCTCCTCCGCCAGCCTCCGCTGCTCCGCATCCATCTCCTCCTCCCCCTCAACCCCCTTCCCCTTTTCCTCCTTCCCCTTATCCTCCTTCCCCTTATCCTCCTTCCCCGTATCCTCCTTCCCCTTCTCCTCCTTCCCCTTATCCTCCTTCCCCTTCTCCTCCTTCCCCTTCTCCTCCTTCCCCTTCTCTTCCTTCCCCTTATCCTTCCCCTTCCCCTCATCTTTCCCCTTCTCCTTCTCCGCCTTTGCCTCAGCGCCTCTCTCGCCCCGCCCACCCTCATCTTCCTTGGCGCGTTTCCGCCTCCCCTCCTCGCCCTGCCCTTTCCTCCCCCCTTCATCCCCTTCATCCTCCGCCTCTCTCCTTCGCCTTCTAGACTCGCGATCCCTTTCCCTCTCTTTTTCCCTCTCCCTCTCCTTTTCTCTCTCCCTCTCCTTTTCCCTCTCCCTCTCCTTTTCCCTCTCCCTCTCCCTTTCTCTTTCCCGTTTTTCTCTCTCCTTTTCCCTTTCCCTCCTCTCCCTCTCCCTCTCCCTCTCTCTTTCCCTCTCCCTCTCCCTCTCTTTCTCCCTTTCCCTCTCCTTTTCCCTCTCTCTCTCCCTCTCTTTCTCTCTCTCCCTTTCCTTCTCCCTCTCCCTCTCTCGCCGCATCTTCTCCCTAGCTCGCTCTTCCCTCTCTCGTTCGTCCGCTCTCTCCCTCTCGATCCTCTCCCTCTCCGCCCTCTCCCTCCCTTTGCTCCTCTCCTTCTCCCGTCCGACCTCGCGCCCCTCGCGCTCACCCCCCTTACTCCGCGCATCCTCCGCCTTTCGCGCCGGTCCCCCCTTCACCTCCCGCTTAACCAATTCCGGCCCATCCTCCTCCTCCTCCTCGTCCCACTCCTCGCTCTCCTCATCTTTCCTATCAGGCCGAAACGACCGTTTGCCCTTCCCACCCTTTTCCTCCCTTTCACCGTCCTCCTCATGGCCTCGAGACGCTTTTCCCTTCTTAAAACTCACTTTCCCGGACTCTTTATGTCCCGAGACACCTAATTTCCCCTCCTCGCCCTTCACGAGTTTGCCTTCTTTCGTCTTCCCATCGCCATTGACTCTCCCGTGCAAGCCGTCGCGTTTCTTCCTATGCACGAGATCGCGTTCCTCGTCGTTTTCATCCGAATATTCATCTGACGAATATTGAACCTTAGGCCGATCCTTGAGCGACAAGTCAGCAGCACTCTTCGCAGAACCCTTCGCAGCTTTCGGCCTTTCGCCAGCATCCGCGCCTCTGCCTCGCGATGCGACAGCTTCCTTCGCACGCTTTCCCTTCGGCACCGCGTCCTCGTCAGACGAATAATCGTCATCCGAGTCGCCCCCCGTCGATCTCCGGAACGGTTTCCGTCGGTGACCGTCACCGTCATCCTGCTTAGGTCGCGCTCCCTTTCGAAACTCCTCTTTCCTGGTCGACATCTTAGCAGTACGAGATCCTGCGAAGTTTGGTCAAAAGAGAGGCTGGGTGAGAATCGGTGGAAGATGATGCTTCTTGCTGCGACTAGATCCAAGACCAGCTCGACTCCTGAATCGGTTCTGGGAGGGTTCAACGCTCCGCAAACTGACACTTGAGGTGAAACAGATGAGCAAATTGAGAAGGTAATGGAAGATTTATTCGCATACATTACAAGCCACTCCCATATCCTGGCCATGAGAGAAAACTTGGTGTTCACCGAATTAAACTTGATTGTACCGCACGCAAATCCTCCGAAGACGCTTTGAAAGGATGTTGCAGTTCCCGAATTGGATGAATTGAACACCCTCTAGAAAGATATCTCGCTTCGGGATTGATTCTGGTGAGAACAGCAAATTCCGCCTTTTCCCTCAGCGAAAACCCCTCTATTAGCCAGCGAAAACCAACCTATTCGCTAGCGAAACCTCGGGGGTTGTTGGGGTGGGGACTCCTTTCCCACGAATATCTCGTTGGATGCTGTTTGTTGTTCGCCAGATTGCTCGCCGACTGACGGACCGACAACCACGACGCCCGTGCGTTGCGATGCAAAACAATTCACGCATGTCACGGCTAGCACAGCAGCAAGCACAAGAAAGAACTCGCTCGAGAGGCCTAAGTTTTATCACGGTTTTCTGCTGCCGGACAAGCAGCACGCTCCTCGCGAGTCACCATCGTATCGCTTCGCTCTGATCGTTATCCGACCTAAGCGAACACCATAGCTCGTGGCACGACTCCTCCCGCTCGTTTTCTTGGACACGATTAGAATCCTAAGACATAAGCTTCTTGAATCCTGTCTGCCAGTCGTAGCGTTCACCGCGTATCGTCTGTGAACCGTGGAACCATCGGTGCACTCTTTAGGGTTCTTCCTGATTCTCCTACAAGTAGTTACCTTAGTCCGGTCAGCTACAGTACGAGGTCGCCTCGACGCTACTAGAAGCAGCGCACTTATCGTCGTCGTGCAGTCGTGAGCTCGACCCAGCAGGTTGCGAACAGCAGGGACGGCGCCGAAAGGATTTAGAGGTTGGGGTCGATCATCGGCGTCTGCCCTGACAGCGGTAGACAGCTATAAGCAGCGGTTGACAGGGATAAGCAGTGGTTGACAGGGAAGCAGTGGTTGACAGGGAAGCAGTGGTTGACAGGGATAAGCAGTGGTTGACAGGGATAAGCCGCTGGTGTTTGCCGTGATGGACGGCGGCGTAGGGAAGGCGGGTCGAGATAGACCTTCGTCGAGGTCGCATCCGTACGACAAACGAAAGGTTCGTATCTAAATGGCGACTTTTACTCGCACTAATTGACTTTTTGAGTCGACTCAAAGGTCGCATCCATACGACAAACGAAAGGTTCGTATCTAGATGGCGACTTCAACTCGCACGAACCTGGTGGTCATATTGACTCATCGCACATGTCGTAAACTCCCTTCCCTCGCCGTCGTTTCTCTTCCCTCGACCTGTCACCTTGATGTGGACAGCTCCTAGACCCGCCAGCTTCGCTCCACTGGCAAGCTTCGTAGCTCTACGCGCCAACCATTTTCACCACGTTGGCTCTCCACCCCGTCCCTCCCCCTCCCTCCTCCCCCACCCTCCTTCCACCCACGTCCTTCCCCCGCACCCCCACGCACAGGAGTCGTCAGGCAGGTCGGGTCCGCCGCCGGACGAGCGCACGGAGAACAAGCTGTATGTGGGCAACCTGGACCACCGCGTCACCGAGTGAGTGGTGCTTGAGAATGCTCTGCGAGAGATTCTGAATGTATGTGGGCAACCACGTGACGGAGTGAGTGATGGACCACCGCGTGAGGAGTGAGTGATGGACCACCGCGTGAGGAGTAAGTGATGGACCACCGTGTGAGGAGTGAGTGATGGACCACCGTGTGAGGAGTGAGTGATGGACCACCGTGTGACGGAGTGAGTGTTTTTTTATATATATTTTCTGTGAGGGATGCTTGAGATCTCGAGCTGTATGTGGGGAACCCTGGGGAGGGAATGAGTGGTGCACCTGCATGTGTTGCATGTGGTGTTGGGACACACGTGCTGCATGCTGCATGCTGCGTGCCCTGCAGGTATCATGTGACCTTGGTGTTTGGGCCACGTGGCTAGGTTCATGCCACGTGTCATGCATGCTGCACGCCCCACAGGTACCACGTGATCAAGATGTTCACCCCGTACGGCAAGATCCGCCGCGAGGAGTATCTGTGGCACACGTACGGGCCCAAGCGGGGGGAGCCTCGCGGCTATGCATTTGTGGAGTACAGCAAGCGAGAGGTGCGTTGGAGTGGACAGATGGATAGAGCAAGAAAGATATGGTTTCTGAGAAGCAAGCTGTGGATTTAGGGAATCGGAGAGAAGCTGGTTGGAGTGGACAGCTGGAGGTCCTCTAACTCGGTAAGGTGCTTGCTGATTGAGTGGCTGCGTATTGGTCTGCATGCATAGATCCTGCAAGAGGTTCGTCTAACTTATAATGGGATTAACACCAAATTCCCACTCACACCCTCTCTCCATGCGCACCACTTCCCCCAATCACACACATCGCTAATCAGGAAGCTGAGCTGGCGCGATCCAAAATGAACGGCCGGACGGTGTTTGGGCGGCCACTGGTGGTGCGATTTGTGGATGAGAAGGTGGTCACATACAACACCGATGCCCCCGTGTGGAACCGACACACCGGCACCACCACTGCGGCACCCGCCAGCGCTGCTGCCGCTGCACCTGGTGCTGCGGGGGCTGCGGGGGTTGGACGAGGGGGAGGTGCGGGAGCAGCGGTGGCAACAGCGTCGGCAGCAGACGGTGCGAAGCGGGCAAGGGTGGCAGCGATACAGAGCAAGCTGAGAGCCATGGATCAGGAGGATAGGCAGCGCAAGCAGGGCCAGGCTCCCAAGACTATGAACATGATTCGCCCTCCGCCTTCGGGGTTTGGGGGTGGGTTTCTGTCAAATGTTATTATAGGTTCTTAGGCTACAGTGAGTAGCACTCTAGGGAGTACAACACTTTTAGGGTTGCTATTTGTATCCCTTGTTTCCCTAGTTCACATATTCCGTTGTTCGCTAACTTTGAGATGG